ACAGTGAGTGGCACGACGTGGGCGAGATACAGCGAGTGGCACGACGTGGGCGAGATACGTTGACGACATACAGCGAGTGGCACGACGTGGGCGAGATACAGTGAGTGACACGACGTGGGCGAGATACGTCGACAACACACAGTGAGTGGCACGGCGTGGGTGAGGTACGTCGACGACACACAGTGAGTGGCACGACGTGGGCGAGATACGTCGACGACACACAGTGAGTGGCACGGTGTGGGTGAGGTACGTCGACGACACACAGTGAGTGGCACGACGTGGGCGAGATACAGCGAGTGGCACGACGTGGGCGAGATACGTTGACGACATACAGCGAGTGGCACGACGTGGGCGAGATACAGTGAGTGACACGACGTGGGCGAGATACGTCGACAACACACAGTGAGTGGCACGGCGTGGGTGAGGTACGTCGACGACACACAGTGAGTGGCACGACGTGGGCGAGATACGTCGACGACACACAGTGAGTGGCACGGTGTGGGTGAGGTACGTCGACGACACACAGTGAGTGGCGCGACGTGGGCGAGATACAGCGAGTGGCACGACGTGGGCGAGATACGTTGACGACATACAGCGAGTGGCACGACGTGGGCGAGATACGTCGACGACACACAGTGAGTGGCGCGACGTGGGCGAGATACAGCGAGTGGCACGACGTGGGCGAGATACGTCGGCGACATACAGCGAGTGGCACGACGTGGGCGAGATACGTCGACGACATACAGTGAGTGGCACTACGTGGGTGAGATACGTCGACGACATTCAATGAAAATATAAAAAAATAAAATGTTGTATTAAATAAACATCAAAATCCAAAAATTAAACCAAAGTTCTCCCCATAAAGACGACATTATAATGATCTCTCCCAATGCTCCATCTGCCGATCACGGCTCGGGTCAACAGCCACGGTGCGCAGAGAACTTTGACCCCCTGCGGAGTGATGTGGTTTCTTCTGCCCCCCCTCCTTCATTCCCGTGTCATGTGGTGATGTAAGGGCTGACGGAAGAAACCAAAGCACTCAGCGGGGGGAACCAGGACCAGAGTGTTGGATGAAGACGATTCTCCGGCACCGTAGCCCTGGACGGCGGGACAGGTCAGTATATTATGTTCTCATTACGGGGGAGGCCGGGGGGACTTGTTTTACCCTAGGGTCACCTTAAAAGGGGGCGTACTGACCTTTTCACCTGCGTTGGGGTTCTTGTCGGGGTGGAACTTTAAAGCCAGTCGCCGGAACGCCCGTTTTATCTCATCGTTGGAGGCCCGCGGAGACACGCCCAGGAGGTCATAATACGCCGTTTCCCGCACCATTTTCTGCGGGAAATAGAAAAGAAACATCAGAAGAAGAGCGGTGACATCACTGAGCGCGTCTGTCCCCTCCCCCTCAGCCCTGACGCAGGCAGTGGGAGGAGTTATGTAAATGTCACAATGACATGTTGGGTGGGAGTCAGTCTGGAGGAGTGGGCCGTCCTAGGCGGGATCTCTTTGCATATAGACCGTCCACATGGGACTGCGCTGAGAGTCCAGGATTGACAGCACTGACATCCAATGAATGAAAGGGGCGGAGCCAGGGATAGTCCAAGGCTAGATGACGCTGGACGTCCTCCAGACAGGACATGAGGCGGGGCTCTAGCTGCGGCTTCTACTACGCATTGCGAGACTCTCCCAGCGAGCAGTGACATCAGAGGAAGCGGGGGGAGGAGCCGGGACAAGTGTGGGAGGAGTTCAGTTTTAGGAGGAAACAAAATAAAGCGAGATCCTTTTATTTAAACGTTATTTGTATTATTTATTT